TAGGTTCTCAAAAGCACAAGCATTGGCTGAGCCAGTTTTACACAAGATGAACTAGGATGTTTTAAGCCTCTCTCTAATACCTGTACGCCTTTTTATTGAATACGACTGCACATTCCTCCATTTTCGAACATTATGATGTTCAACATTCCGACGAATTACTGCTCCGTTTATTTACGGTTCTTTCGAAATATCATTTCGATCGAATATTCTCCAATACAATACGTTTTCGATAGAATACGTTCTCACGAATTACATGCAACTAGACACCCCGAACGGCACGAACCCTCCTACACTGAGAGAAAACTTGAGTTATCATAATTGGAAATCTGATAACCGTTATTACAATATCTGCAATAAATAAGCAACAGATGTGTTCATTTGCTACCATAGATGAAGTGAATTTTCAGGTGGCTTGTAGTTATGACAGCTTATTCAATTTGCAAACTTGTATAAAAAAACCGCTGCTGAAAAACTACCACTTGTTCTAGTTTCTATGATAACACAGAGTGTCGAATAGGAATTATTCCTATAAAATGTTGCAGTAACTATCCACTCTATAGTGGTTATTAGACTATCGTCATAAAACAGCATATTTTTATTACTGGCACAACCATCTTGAGGTAGCGCAGTAATTCGTCTCATTTTATTATAGTTATCTGATATCTGAATGAAATCTGACATTTTGACATGCTATCGTAATCGAAAATGAGCTTTTCAACAGTTATCCCAATATTTTCTACTCTAGTAGGTACATTCATCAAACATTGTTCAATGGTTTGCATTATAAAACCGTGCTTTGAATTACTGCAATGAAAATAAATATCCTATCCACACTCACTTTTCATGATCCAAAGTTATTGTTTTCAAAAAACAAAAAATACGCTTAGTCTCTGAGTAGAAATATGTGGGTTCTCTGGAAGTTTTTCGACATTACTCATTGTTTTTTTCAGAGAAATATCTTCCTAATGCAAACTGACGAATTCATTAAGAAATGAGAAGTTGAATACTTGTATTTACTCTTCCTTCAGAGTTATGATGAGAATTGTCAATGAAACTTCCCTCACAGAAACCCAGATTTTTTAATTCAGAATCTCATCGATCATTTTGTTTTTCGAAATAAACCAATTGTATTTCACAGCTCGGTTCACAGCCAGCAAGCACTAAAACAAAATTTTGCTTCATCACACACATTCACCCACAAGACACGGCTCTAACGATTCGATAGAAACCATTGAACAATAATTGAACACGGGCACCCATGACCGAGAATAGAAGTGAAAATGAACGCGATCTGTCAGCCCCAAAACTAATGAAAAACTAGAGCGAAATGAGCCGAATTACGATTGTCGAATAACCGTCATACATGTGAATTGCTACAGTTAATCGTCAACGTACAATGCTAGAAACCCAAACAGCTATGATTATTGGGACAAACAATATCTGAATTCACCAATAAGCACAATCCACAGAAAGAGCTGCCAATAAAAAATCTTAATAGACTATACCTTTTCAACTTCAATTTCGGAATCGGTGAGTTATATTTCGGAAAAAGTAATCTCGATTTCAGAATTGGTTAGTTCGATTTCAGAAATGGTAAACTCAATTTCAGAATCCGTGAGATGAATTTCAGAAAAAGTCCATTCAATTTCAGAAATGGTAAGTTGTATTTCAGAATTATTATTGGTAGGTTCAATTTCAGAAGATGAAATCCTTTTATATGTTTGAAATGTTTTTAATTGCGAAAGAGAAGATTGTTTACAGTGGATGAACGGTGTTTGAGAGCCCTATGTTGAATCAGATTGATCATATATGGGGTGCCTTCAAGTCAGAAGTGAAGAGCTTCTTGCAAGAGCATCGCCAAAGGGTCATAGCTGGGGATCCGAACAGCTTGCTCAACCAGATAGAATTCAGACTGCGATGTCTTAAGGAATGTGCAGATCATTCAATGAAAATGATAACACCTCAAATGTGTTTGCATTCTCATAATCATGTGCAACGCTATCATCTTCCAGCGATTCGGATGGAAGGCATCTGTGGATTAAATTGAGATTATAATTATGTTATTGAATTGTTTTTGACAAGTTGAATATTGTAAATTATGGTTTGTTAATCTCACATACAAATGGAAACATTTCCAACAAATATAAGGATTTTTTTTCTGAAATTGAACCTACCAATTCTGAAATACAACTTACCATTTCTGAAATTGAATGGACTTTTTCTGAAATTCATCTCACCGATTCTGAAATTGAGTTTACCATTTCTGAAATCGAACTGACCAATTCTGAAATCGAGATTACTTTTTCCGAAATTGAAGTTGAAAAGGTATAGAATTCTTAAAATTCTCATAATATCATAACACACCTGTGTTATGATGGTAGCGAATGTCCATCAAAAGGTATTACAAATGGTTTGAGGAAGCGATTTTTATAATTCCAGAATGGAGAGAATACTGTTCTAATAATAAAATGATCAGGAATAGATTTCTTTATAATGGTTATTACAATCACAGCTGGTAGATATTTTCAATATCCAGTTTCTCTCAGTGTACGTACCCGAAGAATCCTCTGCTTGCACGCCTCTTTCCCCCTCCGCCTCCCGCTTCCGCTCCCTCCCCACGTTGCTATGCCACACCAACGCCACGCCCCCCCCCTCCCCTGACACTTGACGCTCGCCCCGCCCCCGACGAGCACAGAGCTTGTCGATGTGTGAACATTTCTTTGAATTTCATTGCCCGTAATATCAAATATCAAAGCCGTGGAAAGCAGGCAGCAACAAATGAAAATTCTCAGATATACAGGGTGTTTGGTTCATCGACGTATATCTGAAAGGGGGTGATAGTTGGGAACATTTCGAACATATTTTACCATACACCGGGTGACCCGGAACTAATTTACCCCCCTGTATCTTCGTTGTTATTTTGTATGGATGTTTCAGATTCGGTACTCCGATTTGATGTTATGAATGTACAATTTAGCAAGTATCAATCCAATTATGACACTTCCGGTTTTACCGGAAGCGCATCCAATTTTTATATTTCGAATAGGAAGTATCATTTTTTTGAAAATTACAATTCAGTATAGAATTACCTTCACAATGACATTTCACAATCATACTTCCAATTCACAATCTGCTGGTATAATTGACATTTTATAAAAAAAATACTTTTTGTGTTCCCCTCGTAAGGGAACATTTTCATGAAAGTATGCTGTGGAAGATTGAATTATTGTTGCTAACATGATATTGTTCAATCTTCCACAGCAAACTTTCATGAAAATATTTCGTTACGAGGGGAACACAAAAAGTATTTTTTTTTATAAAATGTCAATTATACCAGCAGATTGTAAATTGAAAGTATGATTGTGATATGTCATTGTGAAGGTAATTCTATACTGAATTGTAATTTTCAAAAAAAAATAATACCTCCTATTCGAAATATAAAAATTGGATGCGCTTTCGGTCAAACCGGAAGTGACATATTTGGATTGATACTTGCTAAATTGTACATTCATAACATCAAATCGAAGTACCAAATTTGAAACATCCATACAAAATAACAACGAAGATACAGGGGGGTAAATTGATTCCGGGTCACCCGGTATATATATATATATATATATACTATTATACAAAAAGTTTCAAATTTCGAGGTAACACTGTTCTTTCAAACATTTTATCTGATTAAATCTTTTTTCTTAAAAAGTTGAATACGCGTTTCATCGATACTGAACACGAAATGGGATCTTATGTGATAAAAATATTTTTTGGCTCGTTAGAATTCAAAAAAACGATTTTTGTAATAATTTTTGAATTTATAAGCTATGATTTCTCGAAAAGTGTAACACTTCGCATAATAGCATATATGGTCAAATTTGTTCAAAATCACATAACCTACCACCTCCTTCCGTATATACGTCGGCGAACCAAACACCCTGTATATTAATAGAAAAAAATAGATAACACAATCTAAAACATATTCTTAGGAACTGAAATGAAAAACGAACACGTAAGTACATTGTCAGATTTTGAAATCGGTTTATGTTAATAAGTCGCTACCCTAATAACACAAGATGTCCATTGGATATCTGTATTGTGTCTATTATATGTCCATGGTGTCCATGGACACAATCTGGACAACAATAGGATGTCCGCATGAAGATATCCGTTGGATGTTCAGGTGAAGTTATCCATATGGTGTCCATTCCAATCCCCTCCGATAATAATCGGTTTATGTTGATAAGTCGCTACCCTAATAACACAAGATGTCCATTGGATATCTGTATTGTGTCTATTATATGTCCATGGTGTCCATGGACACAATCTGGACAACAATGGGATGTCCGCATGAAGATATCCGTTGGATGTTCAGGTGAAGTTATCCATATGGTGTCCATTCCAATGCCCCTCCGATAATGTTACTTAACATAATCGTCTCGGGTATCATCGACGTCGTTCGGCTCCTTCGGTGGCCATAGGTCAATAGAAACAACATAATATCACACCAATCTGATATAGAATATTATAGTACCTAGTGCTCTTGAATATGATCACATTTGAAATAAATATAACAACATAGATTCTATCAGATCTTATTCCTATATGATATGAATGCATACATTTAAGACATCCGAATAAATTTACCATACCATACATACATACATACATACATACAGATACCATATGGATGTCCTTGACGGATACAATATAGATGTCCATGACGGACACCTTATGGATAGCTAAAAAGTTGGAAACGCTATATCCTATGGATGTCCATATGTCATCCAGTGTACACAAACTGAATGTCCTATGGATGTCCGAGATGTCTAGAGGAGGATGTCCATAGGACGTCCATTGGATCGAGTTGTGTTATTAGGGTAGTACTATCCGAGCGATCGATAATTCAAATGATATTTCGATTATAGTAATCATTCGAATACCAACTATCCGATTATGATATTTATTCGAGTATGCCGATCACTACCCTGAACCCTCCTACGTACCAGAACAATCCCCTGCTTGCACGCCTCCCTCCCCCTCCGCCTCTCGCTCCCGCTCCCTCTCCCTCTCCACGTTGGTATGCCACACCGAAGCCACGCCCCCGCCCCTCCCCTGGCACTTGACGCTCGCCCCGCCCCCTCCGCTTGACCCCGCCCCCGACGAGCACAGCGGCGAGATCGACGCGCACTTCGCTTCGGCGGTGCGCGGGTGCAGCCGGTCGGGCGAGAGGGCGCGCCTCAGCAGGGGCGACCCCGGCTCGCCGCCCTTCGGCCGCGCGAAGCCCTTCTTCGGGGCGGCGACGACCACGACGGGGGCGGAGCCGGCGCTCGGGCTGTACGATTGCGTCGTGTTCGAGCTGCCTGGCTGGTGACCTGATTGGGATAGAATGAAGATCATTACATTAGCCATTTTTCCTCGATGTTAACCACACAAACCAGGTAGACAAAAAGTTAACACGTTGACTGCCATGTTGGTCTATAGGACCAAAAACAAAATATCCTGACGTGCCGCCTCGGTCTCATAGACCGGGATTGAGGTTGACCAGGTCGACTTGGCCTATGAGACCGAGTCAATTGAACGACTCGTGAAGCCGTCGGTCTGAATTATACTTAGTCAATAATATTGCGGATTTACGATACGGCTTCAGTGACAAGTTTGCATTGCAAATTATCTTCATCAGACACAGAGACCGAGTCGACGTGACAGGCAAATCAGTATGTTCTCAGAATGTTAGGTAGGCCGATACGGTGAAATAAACGTTTATTAAGTGGATGAAATGTAACATAATTTTTTAAAATATAAATATAATCGAATATGTGTTCCAAGAGTACGTAATCTATATATATTCTTATGAACTTTTTTGTAACAATCCAATTCTGATGGATTTGTAGATGGGGACCTGTAGCTGGCAATTAATTTGATCTGCATTTTGTTGAATTCAATATTTATGACTAGCGCATGGGTTGGCCCGATTTTGATATTAGAATATGATTGAAGTATTCCTTTTCTGAGATATACAGCAACTCCATCATTCTGGTTGATGCGGTTATCCGTATGAATCATATCGTAATTGGCAATATGATATAATTCCTTATTTTTTATTTCCCAGGTTTCCGACAACACAATGCAGCAGGGGGTAGTGTCCATCTGAGATAGGAGTATTTCCAGTTCATTAAAATTTTTGTGAATACTTCTGATGTTCAGACAACATACTGAGAATTTACTTGAGTTTGGATCTTCGATATTTATCGTGTCATTTAATTCACTGATAGTTTCGAGCTCTTTTGTATAGAAAATGTTCTCAATAGAGTTCCTGATGAACCAATCCATGTTTTTTGTATTATTGTTATCATTGCTGATGATACTATTGTTATTATTTAAAGTAGTTGCCTATATCTAAGGTAGTACTGTTCCTATGAATGAATAAATGAATGAATGAATAAATTAATGAATGAATGAATGAATGAATGAATAAATGAATGAATAAATGAATGAATAAATGAATGAATAAATGAATAAATGAATGAATAAATGAATGAATAAATGAATGAATAAATGAATGAATAAATGAATGAATAAATGAATGAATAAATGAATGAATAAATGAATGAATAAATGAATGAATAAATGAATGAATAAATGAATGAATAAATGAATGAATAAATGAATGAATAAATGAATGAATAAATGAATGAATAAATGAATGAATGAATGAATGAATAAATGAATGAATAAATGAATGAATAAATGAATGAATAAATGAATGAATAAATGAATGAATAAATGAATGAATAAATGAATGAATGAATGAATGAATAAATGAATGAATAAATGAATGAATAAATGAATGAATGAATGAATGAATAAATGAATGAATAAATGAATGAATAAATGAATGAATAAATGAATGAATACATGAATGAATAAATGAATGAATAAATGAATGAATAAATGAATGAATGAATGAATAAATGAATGAATAAATGAATGAATAAATGAATGAATAAATGAATGAATAAATGAATGAATAAATGAATGAATAAATGAATCAATAAATGAATGAATAAATGAATGAATAAATGAATGAATAAATGAATGAATAAATGAATAAATGAATAAATGAATGAATAAATGAATGAATGAATAAATGAATGAATGAATGAATGAATGAATGAATAAATGAATGAATAAATGAATGAATGAATAAATGAATGAATGAATGAATAAATGAATGAATAAATGAATGAATAGATGAATGAATAAATGAATGAATAAATGAATGAATAGATGAATGAATAAATGAATGAATAAATGAATGAATAAATGAATGAATAGATGAGTGAATAAATGAATGAATGAATAAATGAATAGATGAATGAATAAATGAATGAATAAATGAATGAATAAATGAATAAATGAATAAATGATTAAATGATTGAATGAATAAATGAATAAATGAATAAATGAATAAATGAATAAATGAATAAATGAATAAATGAATAAATGAATGAATGAATAAATGAATAAATGAATAAATGAATAAATGAATAAATGAATGAATGAATAAATGAATAAATGAATAAATGAATAAATGAATAAATGAATGAATGAATAAATGAATAAATGAATAAATGAATAGATGAATAAATGAATACATGAACAAATGAATAAATGAATAAATGAATAAACGAATAAACGAATAAATGAATAAATGAATAAATGAATAAATGAATAAATGAATAAATGAATAAATGAATAAATGAATAAATGAATAAATGAATAAATGAATAAATGAATAGAAGAATAAATGAATAAATGAATAAATGAAAAAATGAATAAATGAATAAATGAATAAATGAATAAATGAATAAATGAATAAATGAATAAATGAATAAATGAATGAATGAATAAATGAATAAATGGATAAATGAATGAATAAATGAATGAATAAATGAATGAATAAATGAATGAATAAAGGAATAAATGAATGAATGAAGGAATAAATGAATAACTGAATGAATTAATGAATGAATGAATAATAAATGAATGAATAAATTGATGAATGAATGAATCGATAAATGAATGAATAAATCAACAGATGAATGTATAATTGAAACAATGAATCAATGAATGAACGAATACAACGAACGAACTCAGGGGTTGCGTCACCTACCGATCGGAAAGGCGAGCGGGCTGGGCGAGCGGGTCGGCGACGCGGGCAGCGGCGACGGTGACGGCGTGCGCGCCAACGGCGACAACGGAATGTGGCCGACGCTCTTGCGCCGGTTCGGGACGGCCGGCGAGCACACGGGGCCGGCGCCGTGCAGAGGCTTCTGGCAGCCGGCGGGATGCAGCTTGTGCTTGAGGCCGTGCAGAGTCGAGGGCCTGTGAGAAGGAAGCGAATCGAATCAAATCGTGTATATTTGTTAATTTGAGATTGTCGCGTGAAATCGTGTACTGATATTATTTTTTACGCCATAATAGAGATATACTAAGAACTCACGGCGCAGGCAGGTCAATGCTGTAAATGAAGATCTTGCTGAAATCACAGCCTGGGGAACAAACAACCTAGTTGAATTCAACGCCACCATAACTCAAGCCTGCATTTTCTGCACCGTAGAAAGGTCGGCGACCTTTCACTTTTCTATCGATAAAAAAAAAATACAGCGCGTCCGAAATTCGATCCTCGCCATTGGAATCTCGGTAACTATGAGAGATTGAGAGGCGGTTAAATCACGATATAGACTAGCTTCAGTCAGTCAGTTATTCAAGAGAAACTGAAATTTTGTGTTTTGTATTTTCGTTTTTCTCGAATATCTTGAAAATTATTGATTGTATGATGAAACAACATTCTGATATTACTTTCAAGTTATATTTTAAATGGATTTATTAGTTTTTGGTTATAAATATCAAATTTTTGAAATATGAACACGAATTTATTTCATTTCCTTTTATTTTTTTCCAAAAAATTGTTTCCAAAAATCGACAAAACCATTCAAAAGATCACTTGAAAGTACCGTCATAATTTTGTCGTCTTTTCATACAATCAATGAAAATGAAAATACAAAATTTCAGTTTTCCTTGAACAACTCAGAAATGACTGAAGCTAGTAAAGATTTCTCGACGGATTCTGCATCACAATTGAATTTGCTGAAACTTCCGAAATTTTACTGTTTATGATGAGACAATCAGGCGATAAACTTATACAAAAGAATAGAGAAATAGAAATACATATATGCTATATAAATAGATCTGGAGATAGCTTGTGACAGAATAAAACGAGTATATGGAAAACGCTGAAGAGACAACAAGAACATAGTAAGAACAAACAACGAAGAATCGAAGGAATTTACAAGAAATTTCGGTGTAAAACAAGGATGTGGGCTTAGTCCATTATTGTTATCGATTGTATTAGATGCAGTATTGAAAGAAACGAAGAAGAAAAGGAAAAAAATAAATTTAGAATACTGAAAAATGCAACAGATTGAAATCAATGAGCTGAAGTTTGCAGATGATAAGGCCATAGCAGCAGATTGAGAGAAAAACCTACAACACAACCTAGACAACTCAAATGGAGAATTGGCAAAAATAATTAATCGATATTATAAAAATGAAAGTTTGTCTGGGTATGTCCTTTATAGAATCGTAAACGGCTTGTCCAATTTCAATTATTCTGATATTGTCAGGAGAAGGTTCTTAAAAGAGAAAAATTTGAGAAATTAAAGATGACGTATCCAATATGGCGGTCGAGTTATGTAATTAAAATCTATAAGGAAAAATATGAGCCACTCAGGAGATCGAACTGGTGAAACTGGTTCATGCGCATTTAGGATCTGTCATGTTACACTCATGAACTTAGGCGTTTCGAAAGGAAAAGGTTGGGAGGAGTCTACTATAGAAGGTTGATGAACCATACATTCGAATGAAATATGCCGTTATTCTGGTCTCATAGCTTCCAAATACTCAGATTTGAGATATATTCAAATAAACGACAAATTTGCATGTGGCTTCAATGTCCTGGATTTGCCTGGAAGCATCAGAAAGCTGTCTGCTGGCGTAAAATGGTCTGAACATAATTATCCTTCCTGAATGGCTAAGATCCGATGGTCTCCTAATAGCCTCAAACTATTAATTTCTCATATTCTTAGGAATTCTAGAATCATTATTGAATGAGTGAACTCATAATCCAGAATCGTCTAAAATAGATGAGGACTGAGCAGGTATGGCACCTCACTAAATAAAGTCAATACTTGCTCAACTGATGAAAACAAATTGAAATAATCAATTATTCATTACCCACAAACTCACCGATGAGAAGAAACATCTTTGGTATTATTAATCGTGAAATTCTCACACCAACAAAGCACTTCATATTTCCTAGGATTGGCGAAAATAAAATGAAAAAAATAATATCACCACTCAATTTCGATTTCATTATTATTAAGACGACAAACAAAACACTTAGGTCGACGCCATCCACCTTGCCGACGTCTATGAACAAAATGGATGCTAGGTTGATTTCGATACCACGTCAAAGTCATGAACAACAGCTTGGAGGTTCCTGCGTATTGAGCAGAAGCGTTTTCAGGCGAGCAACTGACCTTACATTTTCGGGTCGCTGCGATATGACTACTAACAGGGGTCGGATAGTATGATTCTCTCATCAGAATTGGAAAATTCAATATGGCGGATCCAATATGGCAAAATAGTATTGTAAATATGATCCGATTCTATTAAAAATTGGTATCTGGGGTATTTCGGGGTCGGAGATTATTATCTCCTCAAAATTTGAAAATTCAAGATGACGGATCCAATATCGCGGACGACTTTTGTAGATATGATCCGATTCTGTTAAAAATTATTCGGATTAATGATGATAATGATTCTTTCGCCACATTTTTTAAATTCACGATGGCAGATCCAATATGGCACACGATTTTATTAATTATAATCCGATTCCATTTAAAATTGGTATCTAGAGGGTTTTCGGGGTCGGAGATTATGATTCCTCCGTCATAATTAGAAATTTCAAGATAGAGGATTCAACATGTCGAACGGGGTTTGTAATAAATAGTGTTTTGAAAAACTGAATAGCAGTTAGGAAAACTGAAGAGATAGATTACCGAACTGAAAAGAAGTAAAAAATTAATAGTAGTTTGAAAACTAAGGAAACACGCTTTCATGATTAGTCAAACTGAACAGAAGCAGAAAATAAAATTTAAATAATGTGTTGTCAAATATTCAAATGGAAAAATATTTTCTAGAAATTATGTACATAGCAAAAAAACAACGTTTGCCGGGTCAGCTATAATCAATAAAATTACTGGAAGAAATAAATTCAATATTTGTGTACTGTCTCTTCTTCAAATTCATTTTAGTAACGTAGCAACGCGCGCAGGGAACACCTAGCCCTCGCATAAAGAATAGTAATAAACTGAATGCATATTAACTGTATTCGAACTGAAGAGTGGATAAACCTGAAAAAAACTAAAAGTAAGAATAGTCTGCATTTCAACACGACTCACCTGGTATAGGGCTGCTTCGGGTTCCCCCTCGTTGCCCCCGGCGACGGCGAACCCTCCGACGACGACGACTGCCCGCCGAACGGGCTAGAAGTACTCGCGAACGGGCTAGAGGTACTCGCGAATGGGCTAGAGGCGGTCGAGAACGGGCTGGAGGCGGGCGGGAACGGATCGACGGGGCCGGGGAGGGCGGCTAGACTGGAGCGCGAAGGCGGCTGCGGGCGGCCTTGGGCGGCCGAGGGATCGCCGGCTGCTCGTGGGAAAGAGTGGAAGCTGCGCGAGGGCGGTACGCCGACGGGAGACTGCGCCGCCGCGCCAGACATCTGAGGGGAGGATAACGGAAACTCGATTATTTATTTATTTCTCAAACAGGTTTACACCTAATTACACGAGAAAACTATACTACACACAAACTTAATATTAAATCAGTCCTAATGTGCCTACCCTAACAACACAGGGATGTTCTAGGTACGTCCCTTTTTTGTCCCGCGGTACAAGGACATGATTGGTGGACGTTGGAAGTAGGTAAAATTATCGAAAAAATTGAACATAATATGTGCTATGCTTTTGAGACAGGATTTCATTTTTTCAAATTCCTACTGTAACTTATTTTCACTTCTCGGAATAAAATGCAAATTCAATCTCGAGAGAAAATCTTTCAATTATACTCTGATCGAAATTATCATTTTCGGTGAAATGCAGTGAAAAAACTCTCATGAATAACATGTGAAACCGAGCATGTATGTATAAAAGAAAATACCAAACGCCCGACGGAGACTGAGGCAACTGATATATTAATTATTTCAACTGTCGCGTTAATTCACTCTGTCAGAAATCATGTATCATTCATCTCTGTCTGTAATAGTCGTGTTTCAGTATTAGGGTTTTGACGTCACATCATCGCCTCGTTTTCAGAGGTCCGAAAAATCAGGGACTTCAATAATTTTTTATAAAACGTAGGGAGCTCACAGCAAGAAACGGTTTGCGGTGGTGAGCTAGTTTGGGTGAGTACTATGGAATTATAAAATAATTTTTTTTTGTGATATAAGCCCATTGAATACGAGTTCGGGAGGTGGGGTTCTCATATTCGATGGTAGATGGCGTGAACGATGGACAATTTCTTGAAACATTTCAAAATGCGTTTCGAATCATATTATGAAGTTGAACTAGACTTTCAAGGATGTGTTTTCCTTCTTTCGGGACCTGAAGAGTCCGTTGATGATGCACGAATTCAATAATACCTGATAAGAAGCATCTAGAGAGAGGACGTGAAAGAGACAGAGCGCAACAAATAAATTAATCCGAGCGGAAACCTCTTCATCTTGACATATATGTCAGGAGTGTCATGTTTTCGGCTTATCCATGAATTTGTTCAAATTTCAAATAGAAATATTATGAATTAAGAGCAAGTAGTTTATTGAGCAGGTATTGATATTATATTATTTGTTGAGTGAGTGTATTGTGTTTCCATCATGGACTGACTGCTGCAATGTGAACATTCATTTCATTTTGTGTACCAAAAGTGAGTGAATAAACTATTATCACAGGATTTTCTTGAGTTAGTACTTCCTGTCGTTCATGAATTCACCTTTGAAAGTCGAAAATATAACGCACAGCTTTCATTTAAACAAAAAATTTGAAAATGTAAACTCAAATGGATGAGTCATGATACCTGTAAATTTGTTTTGAAACTTGGGAAATTGAGCAAGATTCTCCCACGCCTCGCCATTTTCACAAAGTAGGCGATATCAAGAAATTTCGAAATCCCTCTCAATAGGAAGTGATAACACTATTTAACTTTCTCTACATCTATGTTGTTTGTATTTTGTTTCATCTATTTTTTAGACCTTGTTCTCTGAATTCGAACTTTCTTCAGTGAATTCAGACTTTCTCTAACGTGCTTATATTATTAGCTTGGTATGTATGTTTGTATATAACGCGAAATATATACGAACGTGATTTTCACCCACTTCAAAATGTCGAATTGAAATGAAACTCGCACAATTACAAGATCAAATAACGACAATAGCATAATTTGATAGATGTGTCCCATTATCCTGATCAGGATCTTGAGGATGATCGATTGTTTCTATAATAAAACGGGGGATGATGTTCCGCTACCAACATTTGAAAATGATCCTTCACCAAGAATTCAAATGTTCGTTCATCCTTCGAAAAACTATACAATGCTTTTTTATATCCAGAGACACGGCATTAATATTGTTATTATTATTCTTACTTCCCACACACAACAGCTTCCGAATTTACTTTGGGATAATCTGGTCATTGACCATTGTCAAGGCTAGAAACACTGCATCCAACCTTTGTATTTTTTCGCAATTCATTTCAGATTGTTTGGACCGGAGAAATCAGGTTGATGTTATTCATTCTGACTTCAGTAAAGCCTTTGATCGCGTGTCACGCGTGTCACATCAACAACTAATAAATAAGTCATCGAGCTTTGGTATCTCTACAAGTATTCAGTTGCTTCTCAAGTCATACTTTTCTGATGTTGAGTGCGATGGAATCAAATCTTCCTGCTTTACGGCATCTTCTGGTGTCCCTCAAAGATCAAATCTTGGACCTTTACTTTTTCTAATTTTCATAAACGATATTGCTGATCATATCCTATCCCAAAAATTTGCTGATGATATGAAGACTTACAGAGAAATTAAGGATGAAATGGATAGCATTGCATTGCAGGAAGACTTGAATTCTCTAAGTCACTGGTGCTTCCAGAACAAACTTCAGTTGAATATTAAAAAATGTAAAGTTATGACATTCACTCGAAAAGTTGTTCCACCTTTAACTATAAGCTTGATGCCGATATTCTAGTGCGAGTCACTGAATCGAAAGACTTAGGAGTCATATTTGATCAAAAACTTACGTTTTCTAATCACATTGGTCATATAATTTCAGCTTCAATGAAAAATTTAGGTTTTCTGATACGAATCTGTAAACACTTCAAATCATTTGATTCTCTGAAAAGCATATATCTAATCTATTGTTTGGAATCCGTCTTATGGTAAATATATTTCAGCTATTGGGAATGTTCAGAGGAAATTTTTGGAATTAGCATTTTTTAGAAGGCATGGTAAGTATCCTGTTAGAGGCTATAACTATGACCTACTCCTTAGTGAGTTTATTTGACATCACTTAAAAAACATTGTGAAATAAGAGACTAAATGCTTCATTCACATAATTATACACAATCAAATAGATTCCTCTACTATCCTATCACAAATGATGTTCAATGTTCCTCGAGCTTCTTCACGTGCTGGTAGTACATTTTACTTACCTGTACCTAACACAATACACAATTTCCACTCGCCTATAACAACAATGTCTAGAAGTGTGAACAATATCTCTACTGTCGATATTTTCTTTTCATCATTTGCACAGTTCAAACATGTAATTCTTAAATCAGTTCCTAGCTGATATTTTGAATAACTTTTTTCTAATCGCGGCATCTCACTGCTTTCAAATTTTTCAAAATTACTGGAATGGATTGTCAACAAAAGAATAACATCATATCTAAGCACACAAAAAATTCTCACAGATTCACAATTCGGATTCAGGAAAAACATGAATACTACGGATGCTACTTTTCAAATGATAGAAAAAATTAATGAAATTTTAGAATCAAAACAGTATCCTCTTGGAATATTTTGCGATCTCTCTAAGGCATTTGATTGTGTTAGTCATAATATACTTCTAAATAAACTAGACTACTATGAAATCAGAGGTCTTGCTAAAGACTGGTTCAAATCATATCTATCACGGCGAATGATGTGTGTCAGAGTGAAATATGAAATATCAGGAAACGTATCATATCAAGATTCAGAATTTACTCATATACAGGCAGGAGTGCCACAAGGTTCAGTGTTGGGCCCTACACTATTTCTGATCTATGTGAATGACATTGTTTGTAACTTTCCTACAGTTACCTTCACACTGTTTGCTGATGACACTAGTATACTAGTTACGGGAAAGAATTCGGACCAGCTCACTACTTCGTCAGTAGGGATAATGGAGGGAGTATCAGACTGGTTTCTAGCTAATAAATTGTCTCTCAACTATTCTAAATCGAATAATATATTATTCAGCCTTTACAAAGATATGGATGATATCACTATTCACCTCGATCAAAACTCTATTGATTCTGTGAATTCAACTAAATTCCTAGGAATAAACATGGATTGCAAGTTTAACTGGCTGGAACATTCCTCTGCACTTCAGTCTAAATTGAGTAGGTCAATTTTTGCTTTACGTACCATTAAGAGAAATACTAACCTCTCGACCACAAAATTAGTATACTTTGCTCATTTTCACAGTATCATGCAATATGGTATAGAATTTTGGGGTACATCTATATACGCAGCAGAGGTGTTTGTAATACAAAAGAAAGCCATTCGAGTATTATTTGGTTTAAATTATAGAGACTCTTGCAGAATCCTTTTCAGAGACCACAAGATATTTACCTTAACGAACACCTATATATTTAAAATAAGTGTGTTAATACACAAAAAGCGAGCAACACTGACACGACCATCAAACAAACATACATATCCAACTAGAAATCAAGATTATATTTTGCCAGATTATAACTACAACAGATCCAGGAATGGACCACTGTATTCAGGAATCAAAGTCTATAACCACTTACCCTCCAGTTTGAAATCTTTAAATAATTTGCGATTCAAAGCAAGGTTGAAAATAATTTTGCATGAGAATGTTTATTATCATTTAGACGAATACTTCTCTCACAATTTAGAATTAGATATCACATGATATTTAGTATCTATGTACCGTGCTCGACTTTCTCGATGCTTTACGCTAGATAATCGGATATACCTTTTGTTAAATTATAATGTAATATTGATACCGCTGTTCTTCCGATTCTGAGAAATAAATATATCTATCTATCTATCTATCTATCTATCTAATCACTTCTAATCACTTAGTTTGTAGTTTTGTACACCTGTAATTGGGCTCTAGGGCCTGCTGGATGTATAATTATAAATAAATAAATAAAAAAATGAATAAATAAAACAACAGACTACACCAACCCACCGCCCACTGACCTGCTGCATCTCGACGCTCGCCCTCTTGCTGCTGATCCTCTTGAAAAGCGACGCCCTCCTGCGCTTGTCACCCTCTCTCCGCTGCCGCTTCTGCCTGCTCAAGCTGCGCCTCGCCAACCTGCCCTGCCCCGGCTCGCGCTTCCTGCCGCCCGTCCGGATCGACGTCTGGTCAAGCGGCGTCGCGCGCACACTCACACGCTCCGCCCCGCCCAGTAGGAGTTGCAGGACTTGAGTGTGGTAGAGGCCCTGCACGGGCTCGCCGTTGATGTGCGTGAGGAGGTCGAACGGGCGGAGGCCCGCCTCGAACGCAGGGCTACCCTCGTCCACCGCCTAGATTCGAGAGAAACGTATACAGAATTACCCCAGTCAATTTAGGTTTTGACCCGGACATTGATAATTACTAAACGGGATCTTCTTCAGTTTGTAAAAACACCTTTAAGAAACACCCTCAAGAAAGTCCCACGACGTTCTAAGTGGGATAGCGAAAATATGAAGGAAAAACTAGATGAATTATGCTCAAAATCAACAATTTTAATATTATCTCCTTATTGGTGGATCCAAGCTCAATTATACCTATTATCAATTTTATAGGAAACTAAATTCTCTACAAGTTTCATGCGAAACAATTTTTCATACGACCAATATTGAAAGAGCTGCAGCGCTTTGAAATAGGGCAATTATCGAAAATACCATAATCGTTCGGTTGTGAATGACATTTTGCATGAATATTTTTTCATTCATCAAAAACTGATGAAAGGCACAGAATATTCCTTCTGTTATGAATTTGAGATCATTAATAACGATTTCATTTGTTCGCACCAGTTACGTAATTCCTCGGATTTCTGAAGTTCACCTGGCAATTAATAATATTTTGATACAGTAGTAATAATAATAATAGCTGCTGACAAAGTAATCAAAATCTCAGTAATATTAGGTTTTGACTCGGATATTGATAATTATTACTAAACACGGACCTTCTCTCAATATGTTCGGATGTCTTACGGGATGACGCTTAAGAGATTCCTACGACCTCTTCAGTGAGATAGCCAAGATATCCTGGAAAAACCGGATTTTCAAGGAAATTCCTGGAGCATGCCTAGAATCGTTATTAATGAAGCTATTTCTTTACATTTCATATAATTTTTTTAGTGAATAATAAGGATAATGGTTTCATCTAATTGTAAATAGTAATACAAATAGTTTTTATTACTTCGCGAGCTAGAGTCTTCAAGCGAGGCTGAGTTCCACATCAGTTTCTGAAACAAAATTATTATAAATAAAACAATAACACATCCTCAAATGGAGGAAAGAGAAGCAATTATGGATGTTCGGTGGCGTACCAGTACACGGGATCGGCTCGAGGTCTTTGTCCGGATGGTCGACGTTGTCCTCGTCCTCTTCTCTTAACGTATTACTACATCCATGCCCCGCGCAGTACCCGCAGATGTTCGAACACACCATCTTGTGCCTTCTGCACGAACATTTTTTGGATTCACACCCTTGTGTGCAGTTACAAGATACCATTTCGAGAAGGCGGTCTGGAGCCGGCTTACTTCGGTTGGTCACTGGGCGTAAGTGACCCTCTTCGTCCTTCTCGAATCCCCAATCAGAGGGCGGTAGAGGATTTCCTAACCATTCCTGGACCTGCACGTACAATCTATGTGCAGTGAATATGTTCAAAAAATATACTGAATGAACCGACTTTTTGAATGGAACTAACCTGAAGATAGACTCGTAATGAGTGCTCTCTACTTGACGATGATGTGGGAGGCAGCTGGGCCAGATCAAATTTCGTGTTGGCAGGGAGCCGAGAATTGATTTTCACATACATCTGGAACCTTCTCTTTCCAAGATCATCCAAGGTTTTCCCTGGATACAGAGACATAATGAACATCTCTCCAGCAGTGGCAATGCCGTCTGGTGTGGCGTTTGGTGAGTTGAACACTCCAACTCGCAGACGTAGTGCCTCATCTTGTTGCAAGCGCCTGAACGGCTCCAATTTACCAATATTTAATATAGCACTAGTTGTATCACACCCCGTAGCAGCGTGTAGAAAGAGTATTAATTTTTTCATTGGTCCTAAGAACTCCTGACATTCCTTGCTGCTATATCGGAAGGCATCCGAACATACCAAATAAAGGTCCCGGTAATTATTAATGTCCGGGTCGTATCCTAATTCTACTGAGATTTCGATTACTCTGTCAGCTGTTATTTACTATTAAATCAAAATATTATTGTGTATAAGTCCTATCTTCAATATTTTTGATTTGCTGGCAAACTTCAGAAATCCGAGGATTTGCATAACTGGTGCATACACACATAAGATCGTTATTAATCAGTCCAAATTCATAACAGAAGGAATATTCTATGCTATTGATCAATATTTGATTAATGAAAAAATATTCATGCAGAATGTCATTCTCAACCGAACAATTATGGTTCGATAATTGCCCCATTTCAAAGCGGTGCAGCTCTTTCAATATTGGTCGTATGAAAAACTGTTTTATATGAAACTTGTAGAGAATTCAGTTTCCTATAAAATTGATAATAGGTATTATTGAGCTTGGATCCACCAATAAGGAGATAATATCAAAATTGTCGATTTTGAGCATAATTCATCCAGTTTTTCCTTCATATTTTCGCTATCCCACTTAGAAGGTCGTGGGACTTTCTTGAGGGTGTTACTTGAAGTTGTTTAAACAAACTGAAAAAGGTCCCGTTTAGCAATTATCAATGTCCGGGTTTGGTCGGAAATTGGCCTATTATTACTGGGGATTGGAGCAATGACTTCAACTAAAAAAGATACGCCGCGCGGTGACGGTCATTCTTTGCTCGAAGCGGTCCAAATTACTTTGGATAGGTTATACTCTGATGTGTAGCAGATATTTAATTCGCGTATTGTAAATACGGAAGTAGAAAAACCTGAGACTAAATAACAATAGACACGGTCTCGAACGCTGCCCTCGTTCACCGCCTGAAGTCACGAGATGAATTGTATTTTCTGCTGAATTTTGAATGTGCGGTACATGAAAAACCAGAATATGTAACATTATCGTATAATTATAATAATAATAAAAGGGGTACTTATAGTTTTTACTCAGCATAGCTTTCAGTTTTTTTTTTGTGGAGTATTCCTAGCTTTTTCAGATGAACAGGTAAGATCCCCCCCTCCCAGCTGAGAATGGCATACTTCAATCGTGATTCGAGGTTCGCAGGTGGGTGGAGTCTGATGAGTTTCTAATGTTTTTGAATTTGAAAAGCATATATCTCAAGGTTTTAGTGATATTAGTCACCTGTTCATCCTATCGGAAATGATTGTCGTTATGCCTAGGTACCTGATGTGTTCTGCAGATTCTACATCGACCATTACCCCTTGATTGTCAACTGTCAATGTTTGGTATAATGGTAATGATAATGCATAACTTGCGGAGGACATAAACATGTTTTTTCATAGTTATTGGTTAATTAGGATGGGCGGCTTCAGGTTGGTGCCGAACGGCGACAACACCCGACATGACGAAGTGCCTCAATAGATATTATCAATTACCATCACGTTTCATCGAGAAATATGCCCTTCTCGGTAGTTTTAAGTGGATACACGAAAACCAATGACATGCGGAATCCTTACGGAATTTGAAACTCAAATCCATAATAATGTTGGCACTTCCGGTTTCACTTCCGGTCAGTATTTTACATCGTAGATAGTTCATGTGGGTACTCAAACCGAATGATTTTTAATGAACATTCCATATATGTAAACATATCTATATATAAAGTGTTACCGTTCTCGAGAAATCACTGAATCGGTCAAAATGCATAGGTATCTTACTCAACTCACCATCATCAGATGATGCATCGTATATACGTCAGTATTCTCGTAGTAGACGCGAATGTGGAAAGTAAACCCGAACCCCTTCGGCCCTCGACGAATTATGATAGGCGGCTTCAGGCTGTTGCCGAATGCTTCCGACAGGGCAGTGTCTCGATAGATTTTATCAATTACCGTCACGTTTCATCGAGAAATATGCACTTCTTGGTAGCTCAAAGTCGAGATACATGAAATCTAATGACATATGCGGAATCCTTACGACATTTGAAAACCAAATTCATAATAATGTTGGCACTTTCGCTTTCACTTACGGTCCAGTATTATACATCGTAGATAGGTCATGTGGGTACTCGAACCAGATAATTTTCGATGGAAATTCTAAATATGTAAACATCTCTATATACAAAGTGTTACCGTTCTCGAGAAATCACTAAATCGGTCAAAAACATGGGTATCTTAATCGACTCACCATCACCAGATGATGCATCGTATATACGTCAGTACCCCCGTAGTAGATGCGAATCGTGTGGACGGTGAACCCGAACCCCTTCAGCCCTCGACGTATTATGATGGGCGGCATCAGGCTGGTGCCGACCGGCGACAGCTCCCGGAGGGCAGTGTCTCGATAGATTTTATCAATTAACGTCACGTTTCATCGAGACGTCACGTTTCATCGAGAAATATGCACTTCTAGGTAGCTTCAAGTCGAGATACACGAAAACCAATGACATATGCGGAATCCTTACGACATTTGATACCCAAATTCATAATAATGTTGGCACTTCCGGTTTCACTTACGGTCAGTATTTTACATCGTAGATAGGTCATGTGGGTGCTCAAACCAGATGATTTCTCTTGGAAATTCTATATATGTAAACATACCTACATACAAAGTGTTACCGTTCTCGAAATATCACACTAAACCAATAAAAAAACATTGGTATGGCGCTCAACTCACCATCACCAAATGATGCATCGTATCCCCGTAGTAGACGCGTATTGTGTGGACGGTGAACCCGAACCCATTTTGCGGCAACAGCTCGCGACAAGGCCCTCACATTCAAAACTCAAATTCATAATGATGTTGACACTTCCGGTTTCACTTCCTGTCACTATTTTACATCGTAGATAGGTCATGTGGGTACTCAAACTAGATGATTTTTAATGGACATTTCATATACGTAAACATATCTATATACAAAGTGTTACCGTTTTCGAGAAATCACTAAATCGGTCAAAATGCATGAGTGCACTCAACTCACCATCACCAGATGATGCATCGTATAGACGTCAGTATCCCCGTAGTAGACGCGAATCGTGTGGACGGTGAACCCGAACCCCTTCGGCCCTCGACGTATTATGATTGGCGGCTTCAGGCTGGTGCCGAACGGCGACAGCTCCCGACACGGCGAAGTGTCCCTCGAGCTGGCGGTACTCGAACCGCCTCCCACGCCCGGTGAATGGATCAGCGTCGCCGTGGCCAGGTCATCTGAAACGAGAGGACGAGGACAGTTCAAAGCGTCTGGATCTTCCGCGGGTGGGCGAAATGTGAAGAGGTTGCCAAACCAAGTGGGCCATTGAAATTTACGGCGAAAAGTGGCCGTAGGATGTTTTTCAGGCTCGGTAATATCTTCAGTATTGAGCGAAGTATAAGTAGTTTTTCAAAGAGATTTATCATGAAACTTTAGTTTTTTTTATGGACGCCATATTTGAATTGAATAGGGCTAACACCCATGTATGACATATCGACATTGTGTGTGTATAATAAAAGTGGATTGTGTTTTTTGAAATTATTATCAGGAGTTATGAAAGCACTTGAATTCGTTCACAGAGGGCAAAATACTTGTGTGATAAAGAGGTTCGATCGGTATTCTCTGTCATATTTATGGGCATCCTCATGTAATCATTGGGGCAAAAGAGAATTTTGTGAATGAGATGTTGCGTCTCCCTGGGATAATAATAATAGTAATAATAATAATAATAATAATAATAATTTTTTGCTTCTAAGAACATAGTTTTACAACAAGGGTCAGAAATAGACTGAATTTGTGACTATTGATCTAACGGGGATAAAAAAAATTCAAATACTAAAATAGAGAAAAAGGGGAATAAATAAGAGTGAGTTGAACCATTCCTATTCCTACCAATTCATTCAAAACAAATCACCTCAGTTTAAGAATATTCCATATACAGCTAGCTATGATCTTCAAATCCTCTCTTGACAGACTGTCCAAGGACGAAAGGAGGGAGTACAAAGACGTAAGAGGTTCAGTGAGGCTTCATACTTGCATAAATTGGACATTCAAACTAACGAACGGTTTCATTATCATAGTGATTGCAAACTTAGCATATTTGATTGGGGTCAATCAAGTAAGACATGAAATTTAACGTTAATTTTATCTTGATAGTATTACTCAAACGCAACTGAGCTATAGTACGAGTGACCTGTATCGGAAGTTGCAGGCAAGTAATATTTGGGCTCCTTGAAAAGGATAGAGTTGTTGTAAAGTGGCAAAAATGTGCTTCTTTGAAGCAATGATATATCGGCTTCGAAAAGTTTGCCAAAATATTTTTCTAAAATAACATTTTTCCTTTTTTCTCATTCAGCAGCAGCTTCAGCAAAAATAAAACACTTCTGCAATTGACTGGCCTAGTTTAACTTTTCATTAATAGTACCCAGCGAACTAATTTGCTTTCTCAAAGAAATTATCGGTAGTCGGTCATCAATCAATCAATCAATCAATTTATTAATCCTTTGGAACCTACAAGGGTTATAGGACAAGTCAACAAAGCAGCACACAAAATAATTATAACACAAATAATAGTGATAATGATAATAACACGATCCTAATTAACAGTAATATTGATATTGACAAATAAATCAAATGGACAATGACATATATAGGCAAAGACATATAAAACTGCAATAAGACTTTATAATAATTTAAGAATAAAACACACACAGATATTGAAGTAAAGTTAAAATTTTGAAATTAAAATTGATATAGATTAACCAAGTGCTCCTTCAAATTCTTGTATAGAGTAAGGACAAAGATCTATGAGGAGTTTGGACAATGCACGTTTGAATTTGCGAACAGGCAGGATAGTTTTCAAGTTTTGTGGTAGAGTATTAAACATGTGGACACCTAAAGTGTTTGGTGACCTTTTGGTTAGTTCCAGGTGCTTGAATGGCATATGGTAATCCTCTTTCTTTCTAGTATTGTGAGAGTACTTGTCTTGTACAAATTTTGATTTTGATGAACATATGTCATAAGTTCAAGAATGTATATGCCGGTGAAGAAATACATTAGTTGCTGCAGGAGTGTTCCCCCATACAATAATACCATAAGAAATTCTGGAATGCACTTCTGCAAAATACAATTTTAGGAGATCACTCGATGCAGTGAACTTTTGAGGTTTCTTATTTGATAACATTTAGAGTTCAAGATCTTACATAACTTATTACAGTGGATTCTGAATGGAAGAGTGGAATCAAAATACACTCCAAGAAACTTAACGTCATCCATACTGAGGACTTTTTGTAACCAGTTCAATTACATTGTAACGGTCCACTTGAACCTTACATAAACTTAAGTGACCCTTCTACTATTCATTTTTTTTTCAGTGCAATCAGTTCGGAGTAACACTCAGTATGCATTGTTTTTTGAACAGAGAAATAATATTTCAACATTAATTTGTCAGGACAACCTGTATATAACTTTCGTCTTTTTCCTGTGATTGTGATCGAGTCATACGTGAAGATGCTGATATGCTTCCCCGCTAAGAGTTTCACTTGTGGATGTGTTTATCTTATTCTTATTTTTGTCTACAAACTCAAGACTTCTTCTTCTATTTATAACAATTAAAATATCAACATAGAGAATTCACTTCTATATGTTTGCCTCACCTGTGTTATTGAAACAGTGTGGACAATCGATGTCACGTTAAATACAAAGTCACTAGATAAGGCCAATTTACATAGCACTCAATTAGACCCAGCGCTCTGATTTCTTAGTGTTCTGTGTCTAAGTTCGACGGTGTAATCTTGACCCCGCCGAAATTCGAGCAAGATTGACGGAGATCTTTCTCTCTCGACTGGCGCTTGGCAGAGCAACAAGTAAATTTTTACATTCTTTCGAAATGCCAATTATATTGGGAATAGGCCGATTAAAAGCTATAGGTATGTACAATATGATATAAGGTTCATTTTGAGCCATTTGATAATGTTCACACAATTATAAAAGTATAAGAAAACACATCGATCAACGTGATATTCTTTTCAGGCCTTTTTGGTTTCTACTGAAGCCATTTGCAATCTTGCGAACATGTGCAATATGCACTTGCGCACTTGACATGTCGTCATGGCGGCAATTTAAATAACCTAACCTGATGTTGGATGTTTTGGTTAAAATAAAACTGATGTGATTTCTAATTCACAATTGGGATTATTTATGGTTCGATGCCTCTCAAATTTCAACCCATATTATTGCTAATGGGACAATAACAAGTGTTCGTCAGCTGTTGGTGTTTGCTGCCTGTTTTGTTTATGTTTTGTTTATGTTTGCTGATGCAATTTATGGAGTATGAGGAAGCCACCCATACAGTTAATGGTTAATTTTGAGTAAGAGTATAATGATGGATGACCCTCAGTGAGTACTACTTGTGATGTAATTTTTGATTACCATTGAGGAGTTGAAGACATAGATCTTCACTAGTGTCCTACTTTGTTTTCCTTGTAATAAGTGTTCTCCTATTTGTGAGAAATGAAATAACAGCTGCTATTTCCTTTCATAGGAAACCTAGGTATTTTGTTTACATTTATTATTCCCAGTCACCTGTTGACTCATTATTATCACTTGCTAGCCACAGCGAGGCTGTCATAGATTTAATTTCACTAACATTACATCTTTTGGCATTGCCTAGAAAAGAGTTGAAACACTCACCTATTCATTGATAGAATTTCACTAACATTGTAACTTAGTAATCTATTGAATTTCAATTTAATCATTACAATTAGTCATTATATTAACATTAATTGTAGTAAAAATGGACTTATTACACACTGCGTGTAAGCACTTCTAACACTAGGGTCCCTTGATGGAAATTGACATTAAAGTCATCTTAACAGGGTACGGACAGATCATAGCTGCATTCTTTTTTAATGATCTAGAGACTTTAGTTTTGTCTACTGGCATCCCTGACATTGCTGTTACGTCACATCCATGGGCGCTACAGAAAATCATTCGAAATTTTAATAATAGGTATGTACAGGGTATTTAATTGTTGAGGAAGATCATGTGGCGAACAACTTTTCTGATGAAGATCCGATTCTATTCGTAATTAATATCTGGCGGTTTTCGGGGTAAGAGATGATGATTGTTCCGTCAAAATTGAAAAAGCCAAGATAACGGATCCATTAGTTTATATAATTACTACTTTATCACAAATAAAAAATATGTAGGATGCAAGAGTGAAAATAACGTGCCTATAAGTTATACTGCGTATACCTACTTGTTTGTTACTTTCATCAATAAATTATTTGAAAATGACTTTTTATTTAAGGAAGACGGAAGAATCATATGTATATATAACATGGGGGTGAAGTATATTCTATTCTTTATTTCCCTGCACATTTTACGAATAACTTTTTATCAGCCTACTTCTCGTCCTAGACGAAGTTTTATACATAGTTGATATTCACTCCATAAATTCTTCGAGTTGTATTTCCGGAAATATATTTAGCACACATTACATGAGTACAGTAGTTTAGATATTCAACATCGAGGTTTTCACCATTTCTCAATCATAAGGCTCAGCTCATTCAGCTCATAGATAAACTACTGCTCAGTTTGAAATCAGAATTCATTCAGTCAATTCAGTCAACCCTTGTATACAGCCTAAGAACAGTCTCTTTTGGTGAAATATATTGAACTTTCAGTGAAATTCATATGTTCCCTTAGCTACCTCTCGAAAATTATGCTGGAGTATAGTAAACTCTAAAGGGCGCCGTACATTATGCTATTTACCAGCAAGTTCGATGCAACTTAATTTTGAATCGAACAATGCGCATGCGTCTATGATATTTCATGGCAAGTTTCATGCTAGTTTCGTAATAGAACCAGTCCTATTTTTCTTGCGATTTCAAGACAAGTTATTCAGTAAAATTTTTAGTAATATTCATCGTAGCATCTTGATAAAATACTAATTTTCTCCATAACGTGGCCTGAAACACCAAATAACCTCAAAAAGTACATTGAAGGCTCAAAAAACCTGGAAATAGTGAATATGAACAAGAAAATATGACACAGAAATATCTCAATGTACGGCGACTCGCAATAAATTTAGAAATTGCATTGCCTCAAACTTGCCGAGAAATAGCATAATGTAACTAGAGGATTGTTCATCTATATTTTGGTATAGTTGATTCAGGAATTCCATATGGAAATTACGTATGATACGCCAGTGACCTCAATATAACCTAAAAAACAACAATTGCCAAAAATCTAGTGTTTATCCCCAGAAATGAATAAAGATGGAAGTATATAACTGTTTCACAAACACTTTAGAGTGAGAGGAGACGAGGATCTGTCCGTACCCTGTAAAGATGACAAATACGTCAGTTTACATCAAGGGACCCTATTCTAACACCATTTAGGTAATTATATGCATGGTTTTCAAAAGGTATATAGTTTGATATTTTTGTTCTGTCCTATTCTAATTCTTCTCAGTTAACTCTGAGTGGCGCCCATAGTTTGCTTTACAGATAACATCTTGTAGAAAAACAAATAGAAAATAATTTTATCAAAATCCCACGACCGCTCTACGACTATAAAGGCCACCGTGCATTGAGGCTTTAATTTCTTTTTGTGAAGTTACGCCACAACATTTCAAAGACATTATAGGTCTATGCACTTACCTGTCGGTATCATGAGCGACAGCCCCGAAGTGGAAGCACTCCGCACCACCGACCGCGTAGGATGGTGCCTTAACTGCGCCAGCGCGGCCGCATCGTGCCCGTCCTCGACGGAGATCGAGAACTTGGGCAGGAGGTCGCGCGAATGCCCTGGACGCTTCCTGCGGCTGATCTGCGGCGACACGTCGTCGCTGTCCGTCTGCGAGGATTCCGGCGTGCTCGTCGCGCAGGACGATACGTCCAAGGTCGCCTGGAATAATAATAATAATAATGTGTCTTTATTCATCATCAATAAGGAAATTACACAAACAAATTAGAAATATGATACATTGAGATGATGAAAAGGAGAGGTTCAGCTATCAAAGCTGCTTTTAAACCCATCCTCAAGAAGAAAAAAAAAAAGGAAAAATGATGAGTAGGTAATAATAACATAAAATTTAACAAAAATAATAATCACATATGCTATACTAACAGTAAAGGTAGGTAAGGCGTTTTGAATATGAATTTTTTTTTTATCGCTTGGAGCGCACGAAAGGGAATCCCTATAATGTTCAAAGAACATCGTGCGTTCCCAGGGAGGATAGGGACAGGAGGTAGGTATTGGAATTTTTTTTGAACTTTTGGAGATTATATGTTGTTGGGAATACTTCCACAGGCGATGAATTCCAGAGCCTAGCCGTTCTATGGATGAAGGAGTCTTGATTAAGTGCTGTTCGACATCTTTCGAGGTTGACAACGAAAGGATGTGCTGACTGGGCTTGTCTAGTTCGTCTGATTGGTATTGCTAGTGAAGGGATGATAGCAGAGATTTCCGAAGAACATTTCCCGTGTGTTACGGTGTTCCAATGATGTCAAAGAGTGAGTGAGTGTGGCGTCACCCACCAGGCGAATGGCTCTTCTCTGGATGGAATCTAAGAGCATCAACGTATGTTTTGGTGCTGAACCCCATATGTGGGAACAGTATTCTAGAACAGGCCGTATCTGCGCTTTGTAGATCATTAGAAGCTGTTGAGGTGTAAAGTAGCTTTTCGCACGAAACAAGAATCCGAGTTTTTGCGAAGCAGCTTTTGCGATGGATCTGACATGATTATCCCATGAAGAGTGTTGCTGATGGAAATACCGAGCATAGATATGGTGGGCTTGGTGGGGATGGTGGAGCCAGACATTACAATATCGGGCATACTGAGTTCCGCCTTTCTAGAGAAAATGCAGGCTTGAGTTTTGGTGGCGTTGAATTCAACTAGGTTGTTGGTTCCCCAGGCTTGATTTCAGCAAGATCTTCATTGACAGCATTGACCTGCCTGCGCCGTGAGTTCTTAGTTTCCTGGGAAGAAATGGGAATTCTGGAAGGGAACGCAGTATGGAGGGTACTATCATCTGCAAAGCTGTGGATGGGGCAAGTTGTTACTCTCAACAGATCATTGATATGAAGCAGGAATAAAGTTGGTGCCAAAATTGTTCCTTGTGGAACGCCGGAATTGATGCCAATGGTATCAGACGATACACCGTCCACAACCACGTGAAGCGATCTGCCTGAAAGAAAACTCGATAAGAGATGGCCTAGCTGAGGTGATAAGCCGTATGATGGTAGTTTGTGGAGGAGTCCTTCGTGCCAAACACGGTCGAATGCTTTCGATATTTCCAACGCGACAGCTAGAGATTCCCCGTGTTTTTCTAATGAAGCTTGCCATAAATGGGTAACGTAGGCAAGTAGATCTCCAGTAGATCTTCGGTGGCGAAAGCCGTATTGTCTATCATTGATGATTCCTGAGCTCTCTAGATATTTGGTAAGCTCAATATTGATGGCTTTCTCCATCACTTTGGAGATTACTGATAACAGGGCAATGGGCCTGTAGTTATTGGGCAGGTTCTTATTCCCTTTTGGGGATTGGTTGGACTCTAGCTGTCTTCCAGCATGATGAAATATATTAATAAAGGTGATAATAGTAGTGAAAACAATGATGATAATAATCGTAAAGAAAATAAGTTGATGATATCAATGAAGATGATTAACCAAGTAATGCATACATTACATATCGTCACTCCTGGAGAGAAACTAGCTTTGTAACCATTATATCATTCCCTTGTAAGAAACAATGCTTTCAATCTCTTCTTGAAATTTTTTAAAGTGAATTCTTTTAGTTCTGAGGGAAGAGTATTATATAATTTAGATGCATTATAAGAGGAGCAACGGGTGAATTGTGCTGTGTGGTGTTTGGGAATGAGTAGAATATGTTTGTTGCGTGAGGAATTATTACGTGAAAGTGGGACCAATTTTCTACGTAGGTAAGGCGGGTATCCAGTTTTCAATATTTTATGGGTGAGAGTTAGCATATGCATCTCCCCCCACAGCTTTAATTTCAGCCAACCTGAATCTTGGAAGGATGTACTAATATGGTCATACTTACGGATACCGTATGAAAATCGTATGCAGCTATTTTGTATCCTCTGTAGCCTTGTAGCATCTGTATCTAGTAGAGCAGGACCATAAATACAGTCACAGTAGGACAGTCTCGAAAAAATGAGAGATTCACACAGTCTCAACTTCATATTTTTTGAAATCAGGTCCCTACTAGGATATAACTGTCTCAGGATATTGAAAGATAACCTACATAAGTGGCTTACATGTTTAGTGAATCTCATATTAGTATCAAGATTTTTGCATTCATCCACAAAAGGTATAACGTTGCCGTCGATTCGAATAGAAATAGTGTCACTCACAATATGTTTCTTAGTTCTTGGACCAAAAAGCATGACTTGGGATTTTTTAGGGTTCAGTTTCATGCGCGATCGATATACGTATCGTTATGTAGGTACCTACTCGGGTACCTATCAATTATTGTGGGAATCGGGACTCCGCTAGTAGGTATAGGTACTAATAGGTATATAGGTAGAAGCTCGGGTAGAAGGTAGAAGTCTATAGGTAATAGCCGATATGAACGGTAGAGAAATCCTACTTTTTTATGCATACTTTTTTAGAATAAACCTATGTATTTCAAAAACTAATAAATATTCGAATTCCATTTGAACGATATTCCCCTGGGTGTATACCTACTTTTTTATGATAGAATTTTTTGTTTAGAATAGGTATATTTGAAATGTACGTCCAACAAAAGGGAAAGTCACTTAATTTTTGAGCTGTAAAATAGTCGTGACCAATTACGAGATTCTATTCTCAGCATCACTTTGAATACTTGTACCGATTTCCATGATTCTAAAACACTAGGTATATATGAGAAATGAGAACATGAATTATATTTTCCTATATTATCGATCAAAAAAGTACTGAGGCACCTACTATTTTTTTTTTGAAAAATATAGATCGCGCACATTCTTCTTAGTTTTCTGGACACATTTATACCGAAGAACAGTTTGCATTTGATAATATGAGTTAATGATTAAAAAACTGCAGCAGATTAATATTTACACTTTTGAATTAAGTACCTATTTGAATGAGGATTTTTTATGTACAAGATACGATCGTATAATAATTTTTTGAAAAAACATTGTGGAAAAAGTTGGATTGAATATTCTGAAATATTATCAGAAATATTAACACAAAGTGGCAAATGAGGTATACAAGTACAGTATCAATCAGGTGGTTAATTCCTAAGAATTTTAAGACAAGGTGTTGATCCAGTTAATCCGCCCGCCCACATCCTGACCAAAAATGGGACTAAAGATCAAAGGGTGTGGACAAGATTCGAGTCACGAGTACGAAAGTAGAGAAGTAGAGGATAGGTATTTGAATTATAAACGAGTACGCGATGCGATCGATACGCGTATCCATTTGTCCATGTATTTGGTATTTGTCCCATATCGAATTAAGTACCTGCAACTGCTCAAGTATTTAATAATAATAATAATAATAATAATAATACATTTCATAACATATAAGTCAACTTGCAAAACAGGAATGACAGACAGTAGAACTGATTCAAGTGTCATCCCTGGGTAACATGAAATATATATATATATATATATATATATATATATATTCTATACCATAATGAGAGTAAACATGATGAGCAAAATAAAGGAATTAAATGAACAAAAAAAAAGGGACAAATGTGGCAAATTTATCATGACATACCTACAACAAGTACATTCATTCATTTGCTTGGAACAACAGCTTTTTGTAATGGTTTCTAAATTTAGGGAGCGAAAGTGTTCTGTGACCCGATGAGACCTGGTTATAAAGATGGTAAACCATGAAGGTATAAGATCTCTCGAAGATTGCAGTTCGGTGGTGTGGAGGAGATATAGTTCCCCTGAATCGAGTATTCACATTATGAACATCACTTCGGAAGGTGATTTTATTATAAAGATAGGGAGTTGTCTTATGTAATAATATATTGTGAAATAAGGTTAGCGAATGCAATTTTCTTCTTGCCGACATACTGAGCCAATTGGTTTCTTTCAGCTTGTGTGTGATACTTTGATATTTCCTTATCCCATAGATATATATCAGACAAGATTTCTGAACCCGCTGAATGCGATTAATTTCCGTGTTGGCTAGACAAGGGCCATATATTGTATCACAGTAGTTGAAGTGCGAGAGTACTAATGATTCGGTGAGAGTGATTTTTGTTGATTTTTCTAAAACCTGCCGATGAGGAAATAACATTTTCAAATTAGCGTATGCCCGTTTGACGCATTTACTTACGTGAGACTTAAACCTTAAATCTGTATCCAACTCTAAGCCCAAGTTTCGGGCAACTTTTACACATGAAATTTCATTTCCATCTATCATAATTTTGATATTACGTTCAATATAGGTTTTATTTTTGCCAAAGATCAAAACTTGTGTTTTAATAGGATTTATTGAAAGTTGATGTTTTTCTGAAAATGAAACAAGTTTCGATAATTCCTCATTAATTAGTAAACTTGTAAGATATGTATCAGAATGGGATAAGGGAAATTTTATTTGAGTATCATCAGCATACATAAATGGTTTACAACCCACCAAACAACTTGTGATATTACATGTATATATTGAAAATATTATAGGTCCCAATATAGAGCCTTGAGGCACTCCACAGAGAACATTTTTTAAAGTTGACCTCCCTAAGCTAGTTTCAACAAATTGCACACGACCAGTAAGGTAACTCTTGAGTAAATTAATTGCACTATGTGAAAATCCAATATAATGAAGGATAGAGAACAGTAAACAGTGATTGATAGTATCAAATGCTTTTGAATAATCCAGTAAAATCAATGCCACAGCATATCCTTTATCAATATCTCTAAATATATCATCCGTCACATCTAACAGCGCTGTAGTGCAACTATAACCATTCCTAAATCCCGATTGATGCACAGGCAATATATTGTATTTCTCGACGTGTGAATTAATTTGGTATTTCATGATTTTTTCCAACACTTTAGATAGAACTGGTAATATGGATATAGGTCTCAGGTCATTGAAACTTAATATATTTGACTTTTTGGGAATTGGAATTACTTTTGACACTTTCCATTGGTCTGGAAAAATACTTTGTCGAAGGCAAGTATTGAAAATATGTGTTAAAACATCCAAAATCCTAGGGCAGCAGAGAAGAAGCATTTCAATTTGTAACCCATCAACACCTGTAGCTCTCGACTTGATATCAATTAAGTTATTATATACAATGTTGCTTTCCGTGGGTGCAAACGAAAATAAAGATTCGAAATTCCCTTTTGAATTATTCTGATAGAATGAGAGTAGATCATGATCAACTGGATTTGTTTTTCCAGAAAATGAGAGAAAATTGACATTTATTTCGTTCGGTTTGTTTAGATCATCAGGTAAGCTTTTAATTTCAGTTTTTTTATTTTTGATATCAAGATGCTTCATTTTTTCCCACATTAATTTACTATTATTTCCATAAGTTTCCACACAGTGTTTGAAATAGATTTTTTTTTCATTTTTGATTGAACTGTTAGTTAAGTTTCTTAAATCTTTATAACATTGCCAGTGATTTTCATTTCTAGTTTTCTTATATTTTCTCAATGCTTTATCTCGTAAGGAAATCATAAGCTTTATGGTGTCAGTGAGCCAAGGTGGTCTCTGTTTACTTATTTTCTTAGTCGTGACAGGGGATAATGTGTCAAAAATATTCAAGAGAAGTTGATTGAAATATTCCACTTTATCATTTATATCATCCAGTAGATATACATCTTCAAATGGTGCTAGTATAAGAAAATTTTTTAGCAAGGCCTCATCAATATCTCTCAAATTTCTGGTAGCAAAAGTTTTACTGGTATTATTTTTCATTTGAATATCTAGAGTACAATACACCAGCTGATGATCAGAAACATTGAAGACTTCTTCAAATCCATATTCCAGTGGATTTATTTCATTTGAAATAAGTATCACGTCCAGTAGTGAGGATGTAGTACTTGTTATTCGAGTGGGTTCAGTAACTATTTGTTTCATATTGAAAATATCAATACAGTTTTTGAATGCTTCTGTGCTGTTGTTCTCGAAATCGAGTAGATTTATATTGATATCACCTCCACATATTATTTCATTGCAGAGAGGAACTATTAATTATTGTGCAAGTTTTTGCGTTCGCTAGTACGAGTGCGAGCCGTACCTGTTCCAGGCTGTTCCGAGTCCATACCTGTTACGAAATAACAGTGACAGGGTATTTCGTACCATCTCTAAGGAAAATCCACTCACCAACTTATAATCGACGGGCCTCCTCTGCTCCACGGTCTTCGGTGCCGCAGTCTCCACCAGCTTCCACTTGGGTTCGGCGGCGGCCGGATCGGATACGGACGAGTCCGAGACGGCCGCCCCGGAGGCGGCGTGCTCCGGGTCGGCGTCGGCGCAGAGCGAGCCCAGCTCCGACGCCTTCTTGTACTGCGGCGAGCGGGAGGAGAACAGGCCGAACACTGGCGAGTCGTCGGCGTCGTCGGTGTCGTCTTCCAGTTCGTGGGTGTACCGATCGATTCTACCTGATGGGGAATCAATGAACTCAATATAAACAACTGGAAGGGACCCTCTGTGAACGACGAGTGAGGCAAAAATATTGTTCAGGCAACCTGCAGTGTTTACAGATACCTATCTCTCTCTATCTTATGTTCGCTATTGGGGAGCGCTCGCATTATTTGAAATATTTTCTCGTTTTTTGCTTTTATTCAAGAGTAAACGTGATTAAATGAAAATATTCATATAGGGAAAAGGTGAATGTTGCAATCAATTATCATTAAAAAATGATTATTGATTTTTTTATTGACTTGAAAATGAAATTATGCTATTTACCGGCAAGTTCGATGCAATGCAATTTTGAATCGAATGATATTTCACGGCAAGTTTCATGCAAGTTTCGTACTAGAACCAGTCCTATTTTTCCTGCAACTTCGAGGCAAGTTTAGTAAAATTTTCAGTAATATTCATCGTAACATCTAGATAAAATACAAATTTTCTCCATAACGTGGCCTGAAACACCAAATAACCTCCAAAAGCACATTGAAGGCTCAAAAAACCTGAAAATAGTGAATATGAACAAGAAAATATGACAGAAATATCTCAATGTACGGCGACTCGCAATAAATTGAGATAATTGCGAGAAAATTGCATTGCCTCAAACTTGCCCAGAAATAGCATAATGTACAGCGCCCTTTACAGGATTAGGAAGTCAAATGAATACAAAATTGAAATTATATATTTTCATTCAAATGTCACAATATGTTGTACAGGGTGAGCGAAGCACTATCAGAAGAAAAAGTAAAATGATAGGAAAAATTTGAAAAGAGGTTCTTGAATGGTATTGACTACTTAAGGTCCATTTTGAGCATAATTTCCATAGGTTCCTATTTTACCATTAGGTCACTGCCTATAAACATATCTCTATTAGAAATTGGAAAAATACAATTCTCAATACAATATCCTTCTCCAATGGAACAGTTTGGGTTTCTTTATTAATGAACTTCGAAACTTGGGAGCTGTGGAAGTCATAGGTAAAGTCCATATTATGAGTAACATCTTCCTTAGGACCCAATGTTATGAACTTCCACAGATGCATCCTGAAAGTAAATTACTAGCTAGTTTTTTATTTTAAAGAGGTGCAAACATACTTTTTTATTATTATTAATCAACTAGGTACCTAGTACCGAGTTTTCTTATTTTCCTTCGAGGATCAGCATTTTATGGTAACAAATGCTTAGGAAATGGAAATATACTGGGTACAGCATCTGGTTTCAATAACCTAGCAGTACCTGGTATGTCTAAATAAATAATCAGTTGGCAGGAAATGCTCTCCTCAAAGCTTGCTGGATTTAGATGGAGTCCAACTCTCTCTATGAACTGCCTTTATCCATAAGTCAAGAATGTCTGAATGAAAAATGCAACAAATATTACTACTTAATATGTTTATGGAAAAGTCATGGAAGTATTTAACTTTGCCAAATAATATAGGTATAGTTTTTGAACATATTCTGAGACTGGGAACATTTTACACCTAACTGATGATCATTTCAAGAACTATATTTTCCAAAAATCTGAAAAATATTCAACTTACCCATGAAATGACAATTTCCTTTTGTCTTGCTCGTTCTGGCATCCTAAGGCGACACAATAAATCACCATTGTTTATCAGAAACTTCTCATCAATCAGTTCACAGTGTTCACACCAACAAATTCAGTCCTTTTCATAAAACAAAACACGCCAAATGAATAGATATTTCACATAACCAAAGACAATGAACTTATGTCTTCACTTTCTTGCCTGTTTAGATGAGAGAAAAAAATCGAAAGTACTTTAATTATTCGATAAAAGAAAACGTAAACACCAATCCACCATTAAATAACACGAGTTGGAAAGAGACAGGTTACCGTAAATCATGCTATCTCTGTTGCAGCTGCCCCTGAAACACTTTGTGCTATTTGAGAGAACGGCCGTCTCCCTTCCAGGTGTTCATTTTGAGTTCATTGGACTACCACGGCGGTGGCTGGGGTTCAAACCCTTCAAGGCGTCAACTCTTTTTTTTTCACTCAAGTAATTCTTCAAAAATTATGATTTTCCGTAAATTTCATTTAGGCCGAGTTAGGTCTAGTAGTATCCTTTTTCATACAGAAATAATATTGTCCTTCCGCACATTACCTTATTAAGTCTTGGTGAACAATTAGGTACGCTTTTTGCAATACGCCATCGGGACATAATGGGAAAGACCACTGATTTTTTAAAACGACATTATCGTGAACTATTTACTGAAAAACTACCAGTAAATTAATTTTGAATTTTTTCATTCATGCTAAGACGATGAAAAAAATAAATTAGTATATGTCCATTTCAAAACACACAATTCCTGCGCCATTTGAAATTTCATCAATTCATTGGTGTGACTGGTGCGACGTCTTAGTCCCAACACGCCTATTGTCATTGAACTGACCAATTACACTGCAACACTGCAGAATGACGAGGTATCAGAGAGAGATAGCTACAATTCGGGACTAATACGTCACGACTCCACCATCATATTTGGCTGTTTGAAATATGGAATGAAATATGCTGAATTCAAAACGATATAGATTCGATTCCCTTCAACTTCAACTCATAATATTGATTGTACATAAAATGTAAATCATGATTCGTCGATTGAAAGAGGTTTGCATGGATTTCTTCCCTCAGTGGTCTTCCCCATTCGCTATGAAAACACTTCAAATGGAATAAAACAACATTCCAAACAGATTATACAGGCTGATTTTAAAATAAGTGCATATATTTTAAACACTAAGAAAGCTTGAGGTATACTACCGAATAGCACTATTAAAAATATTATTAGGATCAAAATAGATTTGGGGCAAAATACCCTTTTTCCGCCCAGATTTCTACTTCTGTCCCAACTATCGTTTGCGATCCGCAGTCGACCGTGATGAACGAAGCGACGTTGCCACTCTACATGAAAATTAGGAGATATTAAATAAAATGTATAATCGAGAAAATGTACATGGGGAAGAAGTTAACCCTGGTCTTGAATTTCAGAAAGATAATACAAAAACTTCAAAATGGACTCACTCAAGATTTCTACAACTTAACACCTCACGGTTGGAAGTTATTTTACTGAAAAATCCTTTAGACCCTTCCTTCCACCTCCTTGCATCGCTACAATTTCGTGGTCTTCGAGGAGTCTCATGGGCCCCGCACAATAACGACCCGACATAAGAACCATATCATTCAGCTCAATGTTTGAGAAATGCATCGTCACATTCCAAGCAAATTGTCAGAAACAAAACTTTACATTCAGTGTTGTTCCTGGGTCTGATTTTTTCGTAATAGATTTTCTTGGAAAATGGTAACAGATTTGTATCAAAAGGTAATAGATCCTAAAAATCTGACATTTGACATTCTGAATGTCATTCTTGTAAAACCATATCGCACAAATTAGAAAGAAATAGATTTTTTAGTAACAAAACATCATATTTTGGTGCTAACAGTAACAAAACATCATATTTTGGTGCTAACACCCAATAGTAATAGATCTATTACAAAATTAATGACAAGGACCACACTGTTTACATTTACTAGTATCACGTTTTGACGTTTTCCAAAATAACATACATTCTCAGAACAACAAACTGCAAGAATTCAGATGACCATGAATTACTAATAGGCGACTTTTACGGACCAATCAGAAACAGCAAAGTAGTGCCTGCGTGGTTGCGATTCATCCTGATTGGGCACAGGTGATTGAGATTAATGTATTAGTGAGGAAGGATCATATCTTTGAATGAAACTAACATTTTCATAAAAAACTAATTTGGAAAAAAGATCTATTAGTTTAATTCAATGAAATGATACTCCTCACTATACACTAATCTCACAAATCCAATCAGCTGTGTCCAATCAGGATGAATCGCAACCACGCAGGCGCTACTTTGCTGTTTCTGATTGGTCCGTAGAAATCGCCTATTAGTAATTCATGGTCATCTGAATTCTTGCGTCCGAAACTGTCAGAAGCATGCGCAGTTTCACAGAACTGTATGATTTTTGGGTTTTGTGGACTTGTGCATGCTTCTGACGGTTTTGGATTGTTTATTCTCTGAACGCGAACAATCCTAGTTAGAACTGTCAAAGGTCACAGCAAAGAGGAAATCTATGGTCACAGATATTACTGTTCTAAGAAATGATGTTGACAGATCATATGATGATAGTTTTTTTGTGTGTTTGTAAAATAATTGTAAACGTAAAATAAAAAATAAAATAATTGGATGTTGTGTCGTGATAATCGTGATATGGTCGTGATTTTCAATGTGAGATTGCCAGGAAGGATATGTCGTTGAGTCGTTTTCGATGGTTTAAGTGCGAATATGAACCAACAAGAACACAGGACGATATTAGTCTGGAATGGACTCGATATTAGTATTTGTTTGCTCTCGGGAGTTTTGCTGTTCGAGCAGGTATGAGAAAATCTACTAGGTGAGTCGATTTTCAACTCTGTGGAAGGAAGGGGGACGTTCTATCATTCCCCTCATGTTTCTATCCGTCTCTCGTGATCCATGGAGATAATCACCCCACAGTTCTCTCAGTGAACTTTAAAAAATAAGGCTCCTGTACATATTACATTCCTCAGATGAAGAATGTCCCTTTCTTCATCTGAGTTACATTCACCTCTATTAGTTTCCATAACCTATTTCAATTCATATTCATTCTGTGACAAATTTTTATCAGGATATTCGTCTCTGAAACAATCTGGCATCACTGTCTTGTTCTGACTTTAGTGAATGACGAATTGGAGAATCCCTGGGATTCCGCAGATTTCACTTGCTTCCCAGTGGCGTACTCGAATTTCGAAGCATTTTATGTTCAATTTTCAAAATGAAATTTCTCGTTAATGTGAAGACTTAGGAAAAATCTAATATTTTAGTAATTTTTGTTAGACTCTCTCATATATATGTCTTGAATATATGCACTCATTTTAAAATCAGCCTGTATTACTCACTATCAAAATAGCTGGTATCTTCGTCGTGTGCCAGCTGAGGTATGAATTCGGCTTTCTTTCTGAGCAGAGAATTCCAGTCGATGCCGTAGAAATAGACGTGCTCTTTGATCTCGTGCGCCCCTCCGGTCCCCAATCGGTCTCTAGGGGAGTGCTGCAACAGCGACGTTATGAGATCCTTGGCTTCCTCTTGGACCGGCCAATCTTGATTATCCGGCCATTCTATCTCGTCTATAAATAAATTAATAGGACTTTATTCAACTCAATTGAACAGGGATTTATCAAACGAGAGGATTTTGAAAATAAATTATCTTCCTATATGAATGCAAAATAACGGAGTTTTTGACAATAAATTTGTACTCAATCAAATGAAGAAATTTTGTATTCTTATTATCAAATTCTTTAATTCAATTAATTATAATAATAATAATAATAATAGTTCATCTTAATTGATCTTAGAAACACAGCGTTTATAGACACGTCACGAAATTTGAGATCAGTTACCTACAGGAGTTAAGTTCATAAAATTACCACGATAAAGTACATCAATTCAAAATGTAAAATACAAATACAAGCTAAATTTTTTTGGCGTTACCAAAATAACACACCTTATCCAATAAGATAATAAATTCCAATGTTCAAATTTGACAAGTTTGACAATCATTAAAACCCAGAAAATATTTATAGAATGTCATTCACGACACTAAAAAACCATTCCTATTTGTCATAACCATTTCATGAATGTCATACAGTGGGTTTTCAATTGAAATATGCTTCATGACCTTCTTGAATTCTTTTATTGCCAATTTTCGGAAATCAGTTGGCAGTGTATTGATGCTTATATTATCAAATTCAATCTAACATTCAATAAATTTTCGAAGACAATAACTTAATACAATGTTATTTTGTGATTTTCGAATAGTGGTCTGCACGTTTCATCAAGTTTGGAAGATGCTATACTTCTCAAGAATTAAGAAGACATACACTTAACAAATAAGTACTCCAATGACTTTTTTGTAAAATTTTCAAATAGACATATTATAAATTTTTATTCAGGTCCCAAGGAGAGCACGAGGGACCATAACCTTAATTAGCCAGACGAATGCCTGATGGTAAATATGGCTAGGGTCAAGCATCCGTCAGACTAATTAATATTATGGTCCCTTGTGCTCTACTTCAGAACTGACCAAACATTTTCTTTTCGAAAATCCTCCAATTTGTGTGTTTGTGTATAGCATAATTTTCTCAATTTTCCAATCTAGGCCAAGTGGCTATTGATTTATTTGACGTTTCCATCAGTTTTATGTTCATTGTTGATGTGAACAAATTTCATGAAAAAAAATCGCATCCATCATACATCAATTGTAAAAACTTTACAAACGATAAGATTTCCACAAAATTCTTCATCACAGGACATGTTTCGCTCACACAGTAGCTTCATCAGGTAAAATACTGGTACAATGATTGCATGAATTGTAAGAATTTTGTGGAAATCTTATCGTTTGTGAAGTTTTTACATTTGCTATGGATTTCTATCAAAAGTAACAATTCAAAACATACATTAATTATATAATATACATTTTTTATGTATATTTATTCTGTCTGTTTGTTCCTTAATTGAAATATGTGAATTCTACTATTGAAATAATTCAAATTTTCCTAATTTCAAAATTACATAAAATGTAAATGCACTATGTAAATAAGTGTGGCAACGCTGTATTCGCGTATTTACTACGACTTTCGCATATTTTTCTCAAAGTCATTCTAGTATGTCAAAATCCGATGTTACAGTGTTGTTGTGTTTAGTTAGTTATCATTTCGTGACTTTTTGTGTTTCAATTGATTTTCAGTGTTTTCTTGTTATGAAACTATATGAAGACTATTATTAAAAGTCTATTATAGTTCGTCAGTGCGTGGATTGTGAAAAAGTTCACCATGCAAATCCCAAGGTTATATGTTTCTTTTAACTTGAGCAGTGGTGTAGTTATCACAGGTTATTCAATAAAGTTATTGCAAGAACCCTTGTTTGTTCGAGATCCCCTGAATGATGGATTAAAATTAGGTACATACGGTCAAGAATATTAGGCATTGAAATTGAAAGATTCGAACCAAACATGTTCTAATAGGTATAATAGCGTTGTCATTGTAGTGAAATTGTCTTGACCCTCGCATATAGAATAGAATAGAATTTATTCATATTGCCGCAGCTACCACCATAGGCGGATAAGTACGTCAAAAGTACAAGTCTAAAATATAATACATCTCAGCACACAAAATTAAAATTCACAAAACAATAGCACTAGTTAATAAGTAAACAAGGAATATTAATAAAAATGATTACAGTTCATATAGCAAGTTCCATGCATAGTGTAGTGTATGAGTTGATGTATCACCCTTGATTACACAATAAACGACTATCAACGGAAATCACCTGAGCGCTGAGTAACGGGGACGATAGGACAGTAAGCGTTAGACAGCGATAGGGTGACGACCGAGTGAAGTTAATTGCATACAAGTGTTTTATTACAAAGTGAAATATACCAATAACATTGTGAGTTCCTTATAGTGTATAAAGGGATACTACATATTGGCGACGAGGATAAAAGGTAGGAAAAGTGTTGTAGTATGATAGAAGTTAGCAGAGTAACCCCAAATAGAGATTGGTCATCAGTAATAGAGTCTATGAATACGATACATAGCATATCCGAAAATAGAGCCTATGAATTTGATACATAGCAAAATAAAAACCTCGAGAGACTATGAATTCGATACATAGCAGATCTGAAAGGAGTTGAGTCTATGAATTTGATACATAGCAGATCCGGAGTTAGTAGAGTCTATGAATTTGATACATAGCAGATCCCAAGTTAGTAGAGTCTATGAATTTGATACATAGCAGATCCCAAGTTAGTAGAGTCTATGAATTTGATACATAGCAGATCCCAAGTCACTAGAGTCTATGAATAGGATACATAGCTGAAAACATACCAATTCATTCGAATAATCGATAAGTACATGGCAACAATAAGATTTTCAATCTTTTGTAGGTACAACCTAGCATGTCAAACCTAAATTCGCTAGAACCATTCGACTGCCATGGCGACGTCGGCTCTGTGGGATCTAGGTGGGAAAATTGGAAGAGAGCCCTCGAAATATATCTAGAGGCAGCTGATGTTGAGAACCCATCGAAAAAACGAGCTACCTTGTTACACGTCGGAGGTTTAGGTATACAAGAAATATATCACAACCTTCCTGGTGCTCATGCATCTATTGGTGATGGAGATGATCCTATCGACGTATTCAAAATAGCATTGGAGAAATTAGACGAATACTTCACCCCAAAACAGAGCAGAGTTTACGAAAGGCATATATTTCGTCTCATCAAACAGGAACCCGGTGAGAAGTTCGAGAAGTTCCTTGTACGATTGAGAAATCAGGCCGTAAAATGTAAATTTGGCAACCCTGAAGAAAATCTTATAGATCAGATCGTAGAAAAGTGCTGTTCTACTGAATTGAGGAAAAAAATACTATCTACCGGCGATTCTGTAACTCTTGACGGTATCGTCGCTGAAGCAAACTCACTAGAAGCTGTAACCAGACAAATGGAAGAGTTTGTCGAGAAGAAAACTACAGTGGATGTGAACAAAGTCAGCATTCGAAAATACGGAAATCGCCCTGAAGAACCAAAGTCATGTTTCCGCTGTGGATCTCAGGGCCATCTATCATTCAACTGTCCTGAAATAAATTCCATTTGTAAGAAATGTAACTTCAGGGGACATACCACTGAACAATGCAAAACCAGAGCGGGAAAAAGGAAACCAAACAGGAAGCCCCACCCAAACTCCAACAAGAAGTTTAAGTACGGAGGATCAAGGAAGCGAGATGATGACGATGATGTGAACTACGTATTTCACATTGACAATGAATGCGATATATTATGTGATATCGGAGGAATCCCAGTAGAAATGGTCATCGACTCAGGTAGTAAATGTAATATCCTTAATGATGAAACGTGGGAATACCTAAAGAGTATGAGAGTACAAGTTGTGAATCAAATTAAAAAAACAAACAAGACATTTATGTCATATGCCAGCACAAAACCCTTGAAAGTGCTGGGTAGTTTTGACGCACACATCATTGCAAATAATATCGAAAGAATTGCCACTTTTTATGTTGTCAAAAATGGAATGAAAAATTTATTGGGCAAAGATACTGCGAAGTCTTTAGGTGTTCTTCACATTGGTGTTCGTACTGAGGTTGAAGTTAATGCAATATCAGCCTTTCCGAAATTTAAAAATATTGTAGTCAATATTCCAATTGACGAGTCGGTTAATCCAGTGGTTCAACCATATCGCAGGATCCCAATACCATTAGAAAACGAAGTAAATAAAAAAATTGAGGAATTGGTCAGATCAGATATCGTTGAACCAGTGGATTCGCCTTCTAAGTGGGTGTCTCCAATGGTACCAGTGTTGAAACCCAACGGAGACGTAAGAATATGTATCGATATGAGAAGAGCAAATATGGCCATAATGAGAGAAAATCATCCTCTACCAACAATGGATCAACTGATGACAAAATTCAAAAAAGCTAAACTTTTTTCTAGGTTAGATATCAAAGATGCATTTCATCAAATCGAAATTAGCGAAGATTCCAGACATATTACCACTTTCATTGCAACTAGAGGTCTTTTCAGATACAAACGACTTATGTTTGGTATTTCTTGCGCCCCAGAATTATTTCAAAAAATCATGGAAAGAATCCTTCTGAAATGTGAAGGCACTGTCAACTTCATTGACGATATTGTGGTTTTTGGGAGAGATGAAAATGAGCATAACGAGAGACTAAAAGTCACATTGATGGTATTGAGAGAAAATAATGTTTATTTGAATCAGAAGAAATGTATCTACAACTTGACAACCATACAATTCTTGGGGCACGACTTATCACCAAAAGGTATTAAACCTTCGGACAAGTACATAAATGTCATAAAATCTTTTCGTTTGCCCGAAACTGTCGACGAATTACAAAGTTTTCTAGGGTTAGTGAACTATATAGGTAAATGGATCGCTAATTTAGCTACGTTAACCGAGCCCTTGAGAAAATTGCTTCGTCTGAAGTTGGGGAAAAATGCCAATATAATGAAATATTGGAGGAAGGAGCAGAATGAATCATTCAACTTGCTAAAAATCTCTTTATGTCGCATAAAAACCCTGGGTTTTTATGATCCT